AGCCACAGATGGAAACGTGAGGCTGGAGGCTGAAAGGGGTGGCAGGCAGCCTCGGCGATGGCCCCTCTGACCCTTGTCTCTGGGTACTTGCGGGAGCCTCCTCGCAGCCCCGCCTGCTTCCTGGAGGGGGCGGGGCTTGTGGACGCCCCTCTGACAAGTAGCATCGGGCAGAAGTTTGCCTTACAAGGCTGTGGCGTCTCCCTCCGTCGGGTGCTTTCTCCCACTCACGATCACATTGCTCCCCTGGGGACCAGGGGAGCCTGAGCAGAGACCCAGGCGGGAGGGTTACCCTGGCCACAAACAGGGGTGAACTGGAGGCGGGTCCTTGCACAGCAAAGCCTTCAGATGCGACCACCACCCAGCCCTGGAGGGACCCTGCCACGACCCCCACGGAGCTGAGTCAGGATCTCAGGCCACTCAAAGCAAGACACTCTGAGTTTGTTTTGGGCCACTATGTCCGGGGCTTGTCACCTGCTGTAGACGACTGACACGCAGGGCTTCTTTAGAGACCCGAACACAACAGCCCAGTTGGCCTCTGGGGTAACCGCCAAGCCACGCGACCTCGGCAGATAAAAATGGACACAAACAGCGCCTTTACTCGGCGCTTCCCAGGCCCCGGAGCTGCTCGAAGACCTGACAGACGCCACCTTAGGTAACCCTCAGGGCCACTGTGAAGGAGCCCGTGTGTATTTTACTGCAGCAGAAAGATAAGTGAGCAGACCCGAAGCTTCAGAAGTGATGACTCTTGCGTCGCACACCCTGGCCTGTCCACACACCACACTCACCCAGGGAGGAACAAGTCAGCGAGTCCGTTAAGGACCACGACCAGGGCCCATGCCAGTCCTCCAGCCCTAAGGGAACCAGAGTCGCAGGGACAGGACCCCAGAATGGCCACATGAGGTGAAAGGCCATAAAAGACTGGAAGGCCTCCCCTGTTTTCTCTTTTTTAAAAAGAATCCCATTGCTTTCTCCCCAAATCCAATCACACATTTCCTAACCCTCCTCTCAAGAATTTCAGGACTCCTCAGGTGGCATTATTAGTGAAGAACCCCCTTGACAGTGGAGAAGATGCAAGAGACGTGGGTTCGATCCCTGGGCTGGAAAGATCCCCTGGAGGAGGAAATGGCAACCCACTCCAGTATTCTTGCCTGGAGAATCCCATGGACAGAGGAGCCTGGTGGGCTACAGTCCAAAGGGTCGGAAAGAGTCAGACAAGACTGAAGTGACTGAGCCTGCATGCAAGAATTTCTTCAAATTTCACTTCAATTTCAACTCACTCCCTCTTGGGCTGTTACGTGCGAAGATGAAAAATGCCCAATCAGGAACCTTCCTATTATGTCCCTTCTCTTCTAAAACGCAAACTTCTTGGACTCCAAAAGGATCTCAACATCATATATTATGTAAAAAAAAAGGGGATGAATCAGGTGAGTGTTTCTGAAGGTCAGTTAAGACAGAAGTACCACTGCCTGATCCATATAATGAGATGCTGCCTGGTTCCTTTCAAGGGTAGAGGGAATGAACGGGCCTCTTTGGAAAGGAGCCAGGCAGCTCCTCCTCCAGCCTCGCACCCTCCAGGCAGACCGCAGCTGCTCTGGAGACACAAATGGATGGTACGATTCCTGCTTGGGAGAGAGACCGTCCCCCATCCCCGCCCTCGCCCCCGGGGGGAGAACAGTCTGCCGACTTCCACCTGAGCTGGCCAGCCCCACAAGGTCACGGGCATCCTGTCTCGTCCCCTCCCATCCCCTCTGCCAGCATGTGGCTTCATCAGCATTTGTACAGACGGGCGCGGTGGCCACAGCGTCCGCAGCTTCCCCAGTGCTGGGGCGGCGGGGAGACGTGGTCACTTGCTGCCTCCCCCCCAACACCCTCCATTTCTGGTGGGAACTCCAAGGCTCCAGAGAACATCTCAGCAAGAGTCCAGACAACCTGCTGATTCCCAGAGCAGGGCTACCTGGGTTCCCGTGAGGATAGAAGCTGCATCGTCCCAGGTCCTGAGACCTGCCTACCCAACTCTGGGTGGGACTCCTAAAACTCCTGAACAGTCTCCAGATCAAGGGGCAAGGCTCGTGCCCTTGCATGCAACATTAGTTTTTGGTTTCTAAGAGAGAAACTCAATCTGATGGCGGCGTTATTCGTTCAGGAAGTCAGGGCTGGAGGTGAGTGGTCCCCGTGTCATGGGCTGGATGGTCACTCTGCTGGGGAAACTTTCTGTGCATCTGCACCCTAGGGTGCTGAGCTGTGCTGATCAGGATTTGAGAGTTTCTGCTAGAAAAATGCCCAAGGGCACTGATAGTCACCGCTCCACGAAAGCCATCCCTTCTCAATCCTGGGTCCCCATCTAGTCCCGGGTCCTCTCTCCATGGGTAACTTCCCCTCCCAGCACCCCGCGGGGCCCACCCTCTTCCCTGTGTGGCGCCCCTCCCCGTGGCTGCTGACTCTGTTTCCCTGAGCCTCTCTGTGTTCCTGCTTCCTTAGTCCTGCTCCATGCCCGACGGAAGGTACTGAGGGTTTTCTCTCCGCAGAAGGAGCCCTGAACTGACCAGGAGTTGGAGGTGGGGGAGGAGACAAGACTAGAAATGGTCCCTCCCAGGTTGCCCTGGTTTTTTTCTGATACAGAGGGGACCCCCCCCCCACTACCACGAGCCACCCCTCACCACCCACCAGCTTTTCCTCTCAATACCGTCCAAGAGGAAAGAAAAGCAACTCAGAAATCAAGAGTTACTAATTCCCATCCTGGGGCAAATTCTTTACCCAAACCTTGGCGCTGGCCGTCTATGTGTAAAAAGTAAATGATAAACAGTAACGATACCATATGGATTGGAAACAGCACAAATCCAGAGAAAGACGCATAGGAGAAGCCCAAGGTCATAAAGCCACCAGGGGGACCACAGCTATGGGAAAGCACCTCTGAGTCCACAGACTTGCTGTTGCTTCAAATCACATCCCACATCCTCATCATGAACACACCCAAGCCGCCTGCGAAGCCCAGAAAACCAGCAGCTGCCCCCAAACTTCGCTTGAAGAACCGGTGTCCCAGGAAGCCTAGCTTGAAGGCTTGTGCCACTAGTTCCGGTCAGGATGTGAAGACACCCAGGACCCTCTCTTGGAAGGGAGGAGGGTCTGTGTCCACCTCGCGGCTCGGACTAGGATGGTTTTTGTCTCCTCTCAGAGAGAATAAAGTCACAGAACTGCAGCTAAGAGCTCTGCCCAAGGCCTCCACAGCAGAAAAAGGTGGATACTTGAACCTCTGGTTCTGTCCCTGAAAACAAAATGCACACGGACACACACACACACATGCCTGCACAGACATCATGTCAGAACAGTCAGGAAAACAGAGGGGAAAACTGCTGGCAAGCAGGCCTGTCTATTCCCAGAAATCCCTTCAGCACACTCACCCCCAGGCAATCCAGTTTTCTAGCAGTCTTCAGGTAGCAGCAGAGACTTAACGCTGATTCCATCTCTTGGAAAACTGCTCACGACTTTAGCTGCCTTTGGACAGTTTAACGGCATGACAACCATTATTTATCCCAAAGACTATTGGAACCTGTTTCCAAGTATATTTCCTCCTGTCTCCTTTTGCCCACTTTCTTTTTTTTTTAAGAAAATAAATATGTCCCAAGGTTATCGAGTCCCTCTTAGCCAAGGGTCTTCCCAACAGGCAGAGACCAACAAGACCCAAGGTTCCAAAGTGACTCTGGGACCCACAGGCCCCTGGGGGGTGGACAGACCGAGACCGTCCTTGGGGAATCTGATTCCTGGTCCGTTCCACTCCGCACGGTCTTCAGACCTTCTCCGCACAGTGGTTCTGTCTACACGGGCCACCGAAAACAAGCGTGCTGTGCACAGCGCCCCTGAGTCTGCGAGGTCTGCTCCGGGTGCCACACGGGACCCCCAAGTTCTGGTGTGAGCCTCTCCCAGCCCCGGGCAGTACCTGCCGCCCTTCCTGTAAGGACACCTCAGCCCGAGGGCCTGGTACCTGCTCGGAGCTCAACCAGCACTCCTCACGGCGTTCACCATGATAGGCATCAATGGAGAGGCCCAGTCCCAAAGGCAGGCAAGAGGTCAGACGAGTTGGAGAAAAGCAGGATTTCGTATTCATTCAGAATTCTGAAGGTCACACGCCCTGGCACTGGCATTCAGCTTTCTCAGGCCCACGAAGATGGACATTTCAGAGGTGAATGTCAGGGAGCCAGCAAAGCACAGAATTTAAAAAAACGAAGCTGTCACAGAGCGCTGGGTCTGAGCTCCCTGCGGCCTCCCGCGAATTCCCACTGGCGATTTCGGATACGGTACGTCTATGCTTCAGTGCTACCCTCTCGATCTGTCCACCCTCTCCTTCCCCCACTGTGTCCACAAGCCTGTTCTCTGCGTCTCTATTCCTGCCCTGCAAGTAGGTTCATCCGTACCATCTTTCTAGATTCCATACATATGTGTTAATATACCATATTCGCTTTTCTCTTTCTGCCTTACTTCACTCTGTATCCTAGGCTGCGGAGCGAAGTTCAAGAGAGAGGAGATGTATGTGTAGCTGTGGCTGATTCATGCTGATGTGCGGCAGAAGCCAACATAATGTTGTAATTATCCTCCAATTAAAAATAAATAAATTTTAAAAAATAAATAAAAGGGGGGAAAAAAAGAATAAGAAGCTGGACGCGCTCAAATTCAAATCGACTTAACAGTTGTGTGGAGCAGGGTATTGAAACCTGGAGCAGGGTATTGAGACGTAGCTTTTACCTATGGGTAGGTTCCCGATTCCCAAATGTTTCCGCAAGGATTAAATAAGTTAATTGTTGGTAAAATGCCCAGCACATCGTCACTGATGAATAAATATGATCCTTGCTCATAGCAGATGTTCATCTTGATTCTGAGTGAGAAGGAAAAGCAGTTGGCTAAGAATATTTCCACAAGCCTGTTAATGCTGCTGCAAGCTCTGAATGACCGAGAGCCAAAGGGCCAGTTATGCTGTCGAACAAAAGAGGTGTGCAGGTCTGACTTACCCCTAAGACTCCAAAGCGCTCAGCCAGGCTCCAGCCGCAGAGGAAGTCGATTTCAAACTTGTGGTTCAGGACGACAATGGCGTTTTCCTGCCCGTACTTGGGGTAGGCCCGGGGGTCCGTGTAGATGACGCACTCCGTACCCGACCACCACTCTAGCAGCATCACCAGCTCTGGAACAGAGACAAGACAGGCCTTTATTTCACGCACCTCTGCGGCCAGGGCTCTGGGCCCCGGGACGGCTTGGCACAGCAGGGCTCTGCCTTCCTAGCTTGAAGGGAAAGCAACTGCGAGGGGTCAAGTGCAGGATCATTTCAGCTAAGATCCCAATCCTTGAAAGGGCTTAGAAACAGAAGGAAAAAAATGAGAGAAAACTCCACAAGTCTCCGGGGACGGAGAGGAAGCTTGAGAAGGCAAATGACTTGCATTCCTTGATTAAGTACCTTGGGGAAAAGTAAATCTGAAAGCCTGAATCTCTGTCCTGGTGTTTACAGAGCTCTGAAAGGCAGCAGGAGGCGAGATACAGAATTCTTAACATCCTGCGAAATGACTAATTGGGACACTTACAGACTCCATCAAAGAACACTCAGTTCAGTTCAGTTCAGTCGCTCAGTCGTGTCCGACTCTTTGCGACCCCATGAATCGCAGCATATCAGGCCTCCCTGTCCATCACCAACTCCCGCAGTTTACTCAAACTCATGCTCATCGAGTCTGTGATGCCATCCAGCCATCTCATCCTCTGTCGTCCCCTTCTCCTCCTGCCCCCAATCCCTCCCAGCATCAGGGTCTTTTCCAATGAGTCAACTCTTCGCATGAGGTGGCCAAAGTATTGGAGTTTCAGCTTCAGCATCAGTCCTTCCAATGAACACCCAGGACTGATCTCCCTTAGGATGGACTGGTTGGATCTCCTTGGAGAAGGGAATGGCAAACCACTTCAGTATTCTTGCCTTGAGAACCCCATGAACAGACTGCATTCTCCATGGGATTTTTCATCAAGAATACCAGAATGGGTTGCTATTTCCTCTTCTAGGGGATCTTCCCAATCCAGGGATTGAACCCGCATCTCTTGTGTCTGCTGCATTGCAGCTGGATTCTTGTACCCGCGGAGCCATCGGGGAAGTCCCGTGAAGGACATGCCCCTTGTTATCACCACTTAGTGAGGTACCGCTCAGGCACTCGCTCACTCATCACCTGCCCCAACACACGCACACATGCATGCCCACACACGCACCCCTGCATGCACAAACCCACACACACAAAGCCCAGCCAAGCCTCACGTATGAAAGGCTGGACTGGCTGCCCTTGGAAGTCTCTCTCCTTGAGGCTGGAGACGGCAATGAGGTGCTGGAGCCAGAACTCTCTGAAAGGGGCTATAGTCTAGTTTCTAAGCCCGAGCCCCCTGGGGCTTTGGACAGGTGAACCCCAAGGCACCCCAGCCTCCTAATCTTGGAAGGGGTGGCCTCAGGGGCTTTTGTGAGAAGCGACGGGCATCACATACAACAGGTGCTCTGTGCAGAGCGTGTGCCGAGCCCCCAGCAGACCCAGGCTTCACTGCCCACCCCGGGTCATCAGGAACAAACCAGAACACACCCCTTACTGGACACCATAGAGTCTGCCTGTTCCTAGAGCTGAGAAAACGCCGAGCCCCCAGGCAGCTGTCCTCCGGGGGCAGCAACCCTGGGGGATCCATCTGGGGAGGGAGGCGGGCAGGTCCAACCCCTCCTGGTACCAGTCATGGGGCCTGGACAAGCCCAAGGCAGAGCGCATCCAGGAGGCAGCCAGGTCAAGAGGGCTGGCTCCCGGGACGCGTCCCGCCATCACCTCCTGAACGCCTCTCTGGGCCCTGCTGCCCCCAGTCCGGGGCAGGCTGGGCCCGCTTCTACTTGCCCCAGCCCCTTTCAGGGAGCTCATCGCAGCCTGCGACACGGTGCGATGACCCCTGCCCCCTTACAGGCCACAGGCCCCGCGAGGCACAGACCTCCTCGCTCGGTCCACCCTAGCCTCAGCCTTTTGCTCCAGGACCCAATATGATGCGGGCACATGTCTGCTTCCAGCAAACACTGTCTGGTGGCCGGACGTGTGTAGGCAGGATGCCGGGGGGACTGGAGGTGAGGCCGCATGCCTCGGTGGCTCCCGGGGTCCCACCCTCAAAGCCTGCAGCTCGGAGAGCAGACCACCTCATGCCAAGAGGTGGCCAGACCAGGAGGTCAGAGGCCCTGCCTGGGACGGATGCTGTGTGTGCATCTGGGGGCCAGGCTCCTGTGCTGGGGGCTCCATTCGATAGCTGTAAGGCTTCCCAGCCTGTTTTTCAACGTCCCGGAAGCCTCAGCATCTTTGCGAATCCAGACGGGAAAAGCTGCTGGAGGTGTGATGGCTATGACAGCAGATAATGTGGTGAAGGCTCCCAGTGTGATTGTGCACACGCAGGGGATGGTGAGCGGCCAGCGCCCGTGACTGTTCCATACACACGGCCCCCGGATAGCAGGCATGGCTCCGTGACCGCCGACGGGAAGGGGGAAGGAGTGGAGACGGGGACAGAGTCTCTGCGGCTCCCGCACCAGGGTGGGCGGCGGTCGTGATTTATGGTTGCACCACAGAGGCCGCGAGACGTCACCGGAGCATTTCTTTACAGAGGCCGCGGCAGCACCGATTCTGTGTTCTGAAAAGGCCACTCGGGCTTGGGTGGGAGCAGTGGGGAGCAGGGGGCCCGTGAGGGCGGGCCGCAGAGACCCCGGGAGAGGCGATGACAGCCGGGCCAGGCGGGGGCCAGCGGGGAGGCCGGGCCCCCCACCACCTCAACAGGCTGGAGTTACTCAGCTCAACACTGAAATCTCACCGGATAAAAGAGGCTTCTTTCCTTTTTTCTTTTCCTCCTAAAGGGTTTTCTTTTTTAATTAACAAGAAATATATTTATAGTCATAATGAAAAATAATTCAATTAACCCAGAAGAATTTGGAGGAAACTGTGCCATCCCCCTTGAGGGCCCTAAGGCATGTCTATCCAAACCCCTTTTCTGGTTTGTTTCCAGTCGTAGCTCAGCTGGTAAAGAATCCGCCTGCAGTGCGGGAGACCTGGGTTCGATCCCTGGGTCGGGATGATCCCCTGGAGAAGCGAAAGGCTATTCACTCCAGTATTGTGGCCTGGAGAATTCCACAGGCTGTGTAGTCCCTGAGGTCGCAAAGAGTCGGACACGACCGAGCGACTTTCTCTTTCACTTCAAAGGACCACTCAGGACGGTCTCAGGAAGCTGGGCAGGCTCTGCAGGTCACAAGCGTGGTGGCTGACGTGCTGATTCACCTCCTGGGCGAGAAGCGACAGCCGCCTGCAACGGCTCCTTCCTCTCCATCCCCTCGGCTCCTGACTCCCCGGCCCGGCCCGGCTCGGTCTGCTTCCGCGGGGGGACCGACTTCTGTCCCCACACCGCCCATGCCAGGTGCAGTAAGAACCCACCGCTATCGCGGTCTGTCCTCGGAGAGGGAGCCTGACCTCCTGGGTCCCCTCTGTCCACATCCATCGCCCCTTCCCGAGGGCCCACCCTGGGCCTTCCAGCTCCAGCGTGAGCTGCACAGACCACAGGCCCCCAGGGCCGGAGAGCCCCCACACGTGACTTAGGGCCACTCCCTTCCCTGGGTGTGTATCTGCCAGCAGCTTCGCATCCCTGGTTGAACGCTGGGCACTTCCTCACCAACAACCACAATCCTGCTCCCTTCCTCAGGGTCAAACACAAGGAACAGCTTCAGGGTGGCCTTCCAGGCCCGTCCTTAGGGGGTTACACACGCACATGCACGCACATACACTCACGTTTTCCCCTTGAATGGGATCAAACTTCATTGACCTTTGTAAACACACACATACGGTTATTTTTTCCAAATGGTGTATTTGGTTCTCTTTCCATGTTAATACAGATACACAGAGGTGTCAGCAATTATGGACCAGGCTCTGGATGTGGGCTGGGCCATGTTCCAAGGCCACGTGTGATTTGCATTAAATCCTCACGTTTAGTGGTAAAGAACCTGCCTGCCAATGTAAGAGATACAGGTTCAACCCCTGGGTCAGGAAGATCCCCTGGAGGAGGGCATGGCCACCGACTCCAGTATTCTTGCCTGGAGAATCCCGTGGACAGAGGAGCCTGGCGGGTTACAGTCCGTGGGGTCGCAAAGAGTCAGACACAACTGAGCACAGGCACAGAACAGAACCCTGGGGGAGGAAATACAATTGTCCCCATTTTACAGATGAAGAAACAGAGGCAAAATCCACGTGGGATAACCAGCTGCATGGCCATTCCTGCTCCGGACATATTATGATTTATTCAGCCATTCCACCATCGATTAACATCCTTCCCCCGCCCCTGTTTCTTATTGTTACAAATATTGCACTAAATATCCTTGAAAATGCTTGCTTTTTAAAAAATTGTGTAAGGATTTCTCCAACATAGGTATACCAACAAGTAGAATTATGGATTGAAGAGTATATGCATGCTATCTCCGTCCGACTCTTTGCGATCCCATGGACTGTAGCCCACCAGGCTACTCTGTCCACGAGATTTCCACTGGAGAGGGTTGCCACTTCTTTCTCTGGGGCGGCGGGGCAGGGGGGGATCTTCCGAACCCAGGGATCGAACCTGTGTCTCCTGCATTGGCAGCGAGTTCTTTGCCACTGAGCCACATGTAAAATGAAAGCTATAAATGGACCCGTCAATATTTATTTAAAGCAGAAGCTGGAGTGGATACAGGGGAGACAAGAAGGGAGAATTTGCCTCACACAGACGTGAGATTCATGGCCAAGGGGGAGGGCCTCGTCATCGAGACGGGCTCCTCTGTCCCCCCGCCTCCCCTCCCTCCCACGGCCCTGAAAGGAGAAGACACTCAGTATCATCCTGGTCCTTCCGCCCACTGCGATCTCCGCCTGCATGTTAATTCCTGGGCCTCGTAGGAGGGAGGGGACACCCCGGTCACCCCATTCTCGCCAGAGGTGTAGATTGGGCGAGCAAGGCCCCGGGGAGGGGGTCAGACACTGGTAACAGACAAGACATGCAGCTGAGTTTTCTTCAATATAACGCAGCAATCTGGAAGCCTCCTGTCCCATTTAAAAATGTTCGGTTTGCTCAATTTTGCGGTCTTTATATTTCTTTATTTTGGCGGCCATGTCCCGAGGGCAGGGTGGCTGGAGACGC